AAAAAAAAGTGTGCAAAACACTTTACACTACGTGTCCGGTCTATGTGTTCTCTGGTTAGTGATGAAATGAAAGACACGCACCAGCTTAAAGAGAGGGCGTGTGTGCAAGAGGGAGACAGGCACTGTGCACTGAGACATGCGATATGGCAAATGTGTCACTTGAACTTGAGGCGAACGAACGGGAGGCAATGCAACAGCCGCAATGCACAGTGGTACGTGACTGCGGCAAAACAGAATCAAATATGCAGTGAGTCGGCGTGAGTGGCAGCAAAAAGTAACTTTTGTCTTCTCAAAAAGAAAGACAAAAGCACACAACATGTAAATATATATTGTAAAACGCATCACAACTAACTAAACTTATATTTAAGTAGAATAAGCATTCATAACAGACGCAATTAATGATGCCCCACTGTGCCAAGGCAACGGTCCAGAGTCATGTCCGCCAAGCGTGCGCCACACACCGGCCCAAACAAGAGTGAGAGTGCGCGTGCGAGTGCGAGTAAGAAGAGACGGTTAGCGGTAAACCAAAGCGAAGCAAAAGCCAAAAATCGGTTTAGTTCATATGCAAAATGGGCAGCAACAAATATGCCGCGTCGAGTTGGCGCTTTTCGCATCGCCGCCGACGCCGCTGCGTCAAGTTAGCTGCGACGCCAGCGCAGACGTGCGCAATGACAAGCGATTTGCTGCAGAGGCCGCGTATAAAAGGGTTGGCCGGCGCAGAGGTCGTCAACATTCGACGCGCTGCGCTTGTGGAATAAACGCGACTTAGATCGAGCCAAAGATAGAAAGAAAGAGCTAGAGAGAGAGAGAGAGAGCAAGTGAACGAAAGGATATAAAAAGATCAGCCCAGCATTTGCTGAGCTTTAATTTTTTGTTTGGTATTTTTTGACGTGCACCCCGAAAATGCAGTTCGCTGTAAGTGTTGTGAAACGACAAATGAAATTTAAATAATGTACTAACGCGTTTAATCCTTGAAAAGTATTTAGAGATTTATACCAAATACCGCAACTGTTGTTGCGCACTGATCACATAAATTTCTAAACGCTTTGCCGAATTTGCAATACAAATTAAAAATGAAAAATTTCAATTTCACTTTAATGCAGTTTTCGCGCGCGCTTTTCATCTGCGCTTTGTGCGCCTTTGCCGCCGCCAAGCAGCCACAGCAGCAGCAGCAGCCGCAGCCGCAGCAGCAGCCGTTGCAACAGCCGCAGCAAAAACAAGTCCAGTCCACCAAGCTGAAGCGCGATGCTGGCTTGAGCTTCGGCAGCGGCCTCTATCATGGGCCCTCACACAAATATTTGCCGCCCGCTGCCAGCTCGGTCGGCTATGAGAGCACCTATGCCCAGTTGCATGGCAATGGGCTGGCCGCCAGCAGCGGCTTTGACTTTGCCAGCCTTGACACGGACAGCAGCCATCAGGGCCCGCTTCATCATCATCATCAGCAGCCGCAGCTGCCTCATCATCATCATCCCTATCACAGTCATCAGCAGCATCATCATTACAGCCATCAGCCGCACACATATCAATCACTAGGCTCTTACCATGGTCATGGACGTCCCGTGTACATTAGCTCCTCGAGCCTGGCTGGCGGAGCTGCCGCTGGCCCTGGTCCCAGCTATCATCAGCGTCCGCCCAAGGTGGAGACCTACATTGTGCACACCAGCAACGGCGGCGGCGGCGGCAGCAGCAGCGGGGCTCATGGCTTTGGCCAACAGGGTCATGGTGGTTACAAGTACTCGGGCCATGGCGGTGCCTCTAGCTACCTGAGCCTGCTGGGCGGCGGCTCGCACAAGCAGCATGGCGGCAGCAGCACCACCTATTTGCTGACCACGCCCAGCTACAGTAGCAGCAGCAGCAGCAGCGGAAGCTTGGGCAGCAACAGCCTCAGCCTTGGCAGTCTCGGCAGCCTCGGCAGCGGAGCATCCTCCCATGGCATCAGCTTTGGTCATGGCCATCCACTTAGTCTGAGCAGCAGTAGCATCGGCGGCAGCGGCGGCGGCGTCGGCGGCAGCAGCCACGGCTTGAGCTTTGCGCCCGCTTTGGATCATGAACAGCATTTGGGCTACAACTATGAGGCGCCCAGCCTGCAGCACTATGCCAAGCAGCCGCTGAACAGCTACGGCGTGCCGCTGCTGGCTGGCTATGAGCACGGCCAGCCGGAGGAGGAGCATCAGCAGCAGCAGCAGGTGCATCACGATGAGCAACAGCTGCCGGCGGAGAAGAGCCACACGGAGCAGCAGACACCGGCCTATGCGATCGGCCACAAGGGTCTGGGCCACTTCAGCTATACGGCCAGCAAGCCGCTGGCCCTCAACACGGACATCCATCAGCACGAGGATCAGAACGAGCTGGTCGCTGAGCTGGCCAAGGCGCCGTTCAAGCCCAGCGCCTTCCTTGGCGCCAAGCACGAGTCGAGTCTGGGTTATTCTGACTATGCCACGCCCACCACACAGTATTTGCAACCGCCCACGGCAACGGGCTACGATTATGCGGCTCCGGGTCCGTCGGTCCTCTACGGCGCGCCTGGCCAGTCTGGTGACTCGGCCACGCCCATCTTCGAGCCCGACTCCACCTATTTGCCGCCCACGCACAACTACCACTAAATTATTCACAACTATTTATAATATCTCATTCTATATATATCTATATATATCTCTGATTTTTTTTTTATATATTATATTCATGTAGAGTTTATCTAAGTTTATGCCAAATGGAGCGCTCGTCCAATAAAAGCAATTTGAAACATAGCCACGCCCCCTCTCACTTTGACTCTGGTTTTCAGACTTTCAATCGATCTCTTTAGCATGCGCAGCTCATCAAAGTCGGATGTATATATATATATATATAGAAAGATAGATATATACATATATACATATTTGATTTGGGGTTTTCTCAATCCGTTTCGCTTTTTATTTTGAAAGCGTGTGAAGTCGCTGGAGTCGCATGTGGAGCAAGTGCGAGAAATTATTGAAACGCTAACGGAATGGCCAATTAGACAAATTCACTGAACGCATTACATCCGAATGGCATCCGTGTGGAATACGTGAAATACGCTTTCGACTGAAAGTGCAAATCGAACGAGTGTGGCGCGTCTTTAATCTAATTTCCAAATCAAATTGGCGAATAACTGGACGTATTTATCGCTAGTTCTTTAATCAACTGCATTTCATTTCATTTTTCGATTTCATTTCACTCGAGCTCAATATATCACTGGAGTATCGCCTGAATTCTGGACTTGTAGTACTGGAAGCACTCCTTAATATTGCATTATTTTAAAGTGTATGCAAATACAGTCGAGTTTTGATAAACTGTATTGCGATAAATCGAGAAAATTCTATCGCCTTGGAAAAAATTCGATAATTCTTGATAGTTTAAATTTCTGTGTAAATCGAAATAAATGATCCGCTAGCCATTGCGAATTATCGGGACTCGAGTATACTTAAATTTAATTCATGCATATATCATTAGAGTTTTCTGAATTTTTATCGAACATTCATTTTGGATGGTTATCGATTTTTATCGATTTTGTGACTTGAATCGATATTTTGCGAGTATGTTCCAAAAGTCTGATTTGATTTTGTATATTTTTAAATCTCTTATTGATTGTCGACTTTGATCGAACATTCATTTTGGGTGGTTATCGATTTTTATCGATTTGGGACGTTAATCGAAATTTTCGGGATATGTTTCAATAAGACTTATTTGATTTTATATATTTTTAATTCTCTTGTCGATTTTTCGACTTTTATTGAACATACAGTTTGGATGGTTATCGATTGTTATCGATTTTTTGACTGGAATCGATATTTTGCGAATACGTTCCAAAAGTCTTATTTGATTTTGTATATTTTTAAATCTCTTATCGTTTTTTTTTCAGATTTTATTTTGCAGTATATAATGGATAGTTATCGATAGTATGCTATCAGAGTAGTATATGCGCTTTTTGTAAGTCTTTAATTTCTTTTTTTTTTTCATTATTATAATATTATAAAATCTAATCATTGTAGCATTTACACTCTTTCTAATATTTATCTTTAAATAAATGTAAAATATTTTTTCATATTCCCATAACGAACCCGTTTCATATCTGAAAGGCACTTGTCATAATCTGGCCAATGATCTGACGCGTGATGCGTTTTAAGAGGCTGTAAAATTATGTCATTACGTTGAGGGGGATTATTAATCATATTTATCTACATTGTCGGCTTCTGTTGCCTTCACCTCGGCTGCTTCTTCTTCTTCTTATCCAGCAGCGTTATCTCCTACTTATGCAATGCGAAAGCTGATCCTGGCCACAGTGCTGACCCACATCAGCTGCGGAAAGTGAAAGGATGAGCACTTGAGCGATGAATGTGTTTTTGGCATTTGACCAGCAACAACAACAACAACAACAATTAAAACAGCAACAATTCACAGAAAATGAAACAAACGAGAAAAGAAACGAAAGACTTAGGCAACGAACTTGACAGCGCGATTTCGCATTTAGTTTTCATGACGCGCTGCACTTGGATTGATTTGGTCTGGTCAGGTGAATCGCTGGGTGGCCACTTGACTTGGCAGCAGCAAGTGCAGCCGTTGCAGCTGCGATTTATAGCAGGTTCAACGACCAGTGTTGGGCAATCGATTCGCAAGGAAAAACCCTTCGAATAGAAATTTCGCGGTCATCTGCATCAATAAATTAGAGCTTGCTTTCTGCCCTGGCGTAAGTGTATCTCATTTATGAAAAGCTCAAAATCAGTGTTGTAAAACTAGCAAAGAAAACTTTAAATGAATAAATAAGAAATCCTTCAGCCTAACTGCAGATTTAAATTATTTTAAATTATTCATAGATCGATTTCAATGAAATGTTCAGCAACACAGTGTTGTAAAATAACACAAAAATATTGTAGAATTCAATTATTTCCCATCGAATTTATGCTACATACATTTTAGACACAACAAATGTGATTTATAATTAATTAAAAATTTTACAGTGCTGTAAAATACCTAAAAATAAGCTAAAAAATGTGTTTTCCCATCAGATGTTCAAGTTTCTCTTTGCATGAAATTATATCATTTGTAAATTGTCTCAAGTTTCAGGGTCAGCTCTACACTCAGCTTTGACCTTGTTCAGTTTATTGTGTGCTTTTCTTCTTCTTCTTCTTCTTCTTCCTCTGCTTTTATTACGCCCACGCACCATGCGAGAATCTGCGTTAAGAACGTGACAATGCGTAGTTAAGCATATTTATTTAATTTATTTCATTTTTTTTATTTTTTTTTTTTTTTTTGCTTAATTAAATAATAATTTACGTCAAGACGTGTGACTAATTTGCAAATGAATAACCGAAATGAAATGCAATTAAATATAGTTAAAAACGACCTACTAGGGAGTGCCCAACTTGGAGCTACTACAATTATTTCTAGGTATAATAGAGTATGGAATTGGAGGTCGCGTATCGAAATTCCCAGCTCTAGCTTTTACAGTTCCTGAGTTCAGTCGGACTGTCCCTCGTTGGCTCTACACCTCCTTCAGATTGTCTATAGTACAGGGTATATAGAAACGGGTTACATGTAGTTCGCCTTGTTCCGATTTCGTCAACTATCGCTTACATCATTTCATCATCGGCGCCGAAAGTTTTTAATCTTTCTTCAAAAGAAATAGACAAAGAAGAAAACTAAACAAATATACATATATATCTTTGTATGTCAACAAGTTTATTAAGCACAGCTCTTGGCACGCCTATTCCTCTGCTGGGCCCTTCTCTCCCTCCCGGCCTCACTCTCCTCTATTAAACAATAATCGCGATAATTTTCTAATTTTCTTAGTCACTTGGGCAATGTGACAGCTCCGAGAGCCATTAAATAGATATACAGTCCAATACAATGATCACAATATGATAAAAGACATTATTTATAGGGTATATGCGTTGATAACTAATCTCCATTGACCGCCATAGTCTCTTTTGTGCTGTCACTGTTGACACCTGTGACCTGTGGCATGCACCTGCCAGCCACATTTACAAAGAGGTGTTAAGTAATTATACCCTGTAAAATGTGGACTAAGGTTAAGGTGTGGCATATTGGTTTGAATGCATGTAAGGAAAAAAACAGCCAACTAGTGAGTGTTCCAATAATTGATCATTATAATTGTATCGATAACTCACTTAATATCGATAAATATCGTTTTTTTATATATACTCAAACTCTCCAATATCTACATACCGAGACTGTAGTCAGTAAGCAAGCAGTAATTTCCAGTCTAGCATGGCTACATAAAGTAGATTTACAGGGTATCTGCTCGACGTGCATGCCCCCAAGAGCACACATTTATTTCATTAGCCGCGGTTAGTGTTTTATTGGCTGTTAAGGCAAACTGGTAATTGCTTCGGTTTTTAAGAGTCCTAACAATTGCATACCCGATGTGCCCTTTAAATACCCTGTAATATCTGAATATCAATGCTTAGGCAGCCAGTCAGAAGACGTTTTGGAGCACGGCCAATTTTATCAAATTGCTCTAATAAAGTCGGCTTACAGGGTATATACAAGTCGGGTAGGTAAAATCACTTTTTATGCAGGGTATATATTAGTCGTGTTTCAGCCGCTGCCCTCTTTGTTCATTTCAACATGTTTAGCGCGCAAAGAAATATCCAAAAAGAGAAGAGAAATGAGAGGGCGGAGAAACGGGAGAAAGAAAGAGAGAGAGAGAAAGAGAAGTAACATTTCATGTTTTTATGTCTATTATTTACATGTTGCTAATGTGGCGGCTTTACATTCACTTTTTTATTACATTCAACTGCCTTGTGCGAAATGGGGTATGCCCGTTTGAAGGCAGTTTTTGAAAACGACGAGAGATACACATATATCAATATTTTAAAGGGTATACAATGATCGAAAGCTGATTAATTCTTTGTGGAGGTCATATAGACTCATAGACTCATATAATTGCCCATTCATTCTCTCCCTCTCTGACTTTCCTTTTCTCTCTCTATACATCTTTCATTCTTTCTGCCTTTCTCTCTTTCTCTCTTGTGCCACAAGCGGCTCAGACTAATTACATAATGACCCACATAGCTAAAAGCGTCTCAAAAATATTCGTTTTATCTTTTGTATCGGTTATTATAATTAGCTTTGAAAAACTGTGGGAAAAAGTAACTGTGCTTGTGTGTGTGTGTGTGGGGCATATTCAATGCTCGAGTTAAGACAGGTCATGAAATGCCCAGACGATAACAATAGCCAAGCTCGTGCGTGACAATGAAATTCCACACTTTGATATATTACAAAAAAAATTTACATAAATTTGTCGCATTTGTAAACAAGAGCATATGCCTAATTGGAGAGTCTGCATTCAAATCAAACTCACATTCAAATTTATGACTTGGCGGCAAACGGGTTGGCGAACAGTCTGGCAGCGCTGCAGTCCTTACAGCGTCAAGTTGGCTGCGCTCGAGGAGCAGCCATCAGTGCAATTTTCGAATATAACTGTAAAATCAACGAAATCAACTGCAAGGCACAACATGAAAATGAAACAGCGAGAAATATGACGTAAACTCAAAACAACTATAGAACCTAGTATCCACAATATCCTGAAAAACTTTTCCCATCATTAATCATAAACCACTTACAGTTCACTTAATGACAAAAGATAAACAAAACTTTGGCCACGGCTTTGGCGCTTCAGCAGCGGACTCAAAGCGATTGCTAGAACCAGTTGAGCTTCAGCATCGGCACGGAAATGAACATATCACAGTTGTTTCAGTCGTATCAGGACTTGTCCGGCCAGCAGATGAACCAAATCAATGAGTATGTGGCGCAAGCTCTGCTGCACGTGGTGCACATCCACATTATGAGCGTGACGCCGTCGCTGGTGCTGACCCTCTGCTGCCGCAACAATCATACGTGCAACTTCTACAACGAAATGATGAGCATACTGTTTCGCGGCTGGGGCATAGCCCCGCTCCAGATAGTCACTGTGGAGCAGGGCATGCTGCGAAAATTCATCCCGGGTCGCCGGCACTACAATCTCATCTTCACAGACTCTTATGCGGCCTTTGCCGAGATCGAGGTGGAGGCTTACTCTAAGGAGTATAACTACAACGAGTACTATTACATCTTTCTGCAAGCGCGCGATCGTCTGCTACAGGGCGAGATGCGTCGCATCTTCGAGCATTGCTGGCGCCACCAGCTCATCAATTGCAACGTTCAGGTGCAGCGCGCCAATGGAGATATTTTGCTTTACACGTACCTGCCCTTCGGGCCCGAGAGCTGTGCCGATACGACGCCCCAGCTGATCAATCGGTATAACGGCAGCCAGATGCTCAATCCCCAGCTCTTCCCGCCGAAGCTGCGCAACCTCTATGGCTGCCCCCTGCGTGCCGCATTGTTGCACATGCCGCCGTTCATCTAGCTAGAGGGCACGCGCATCACGGGCGGCCTGGAGGGTCGCCTCTTGCAGACATTCATTACCAGGCTCAACTTGAGCATTCAAGTGCAGCCGCTGCCTCATGGACAGGAATTGTTTGCCAACAAAATGATACAAATGGTAAAGGCCATCAATCCAAACGTTCTCCTCCTCCTTTAATACTTTCCACCCTTTGTTTCCAGCTGCAAAGCGACCAAGCGGATTTGTGCATCGGCGGCGTTCGCCAGACGGTGGCCAACAGCATCTCAGCCACATCGACCCACAACTATCACCAGACGAGCGTTCGCTTTGGTGTCCTGAGCGCCAGCTATGAGCTGAGCTCCCTGGACATCTTCTTCTATCCGTATCCCACATCCATTTGGCTGGGCCTTGTCTTCGTCTTTGCCATGTCCATTCTGTTGCTGCTCATTATGGATCGGCTGCTGCAGTTGAGGGAGCAGAGCTCCATCCTGCTTAATCTGGAGCTAATCTTTGTGGGCATGCCAATGCTGCAGCTGTCGAGCTCCATTGCCAAGAGTGTCTACTGCATCATGTTGATGTTCTACACATTGCTCATACGCACCGTCTACCAGGGCATGCTCTACCATTTGATACGCACGCATCAGCTGAACAGGCTGCCGCAGTCCATCGAGGAGCTGGTGGCCCACAACTATACGGTGGTGCTATCGGCTAGCATACACGATGCCCTCTCCGAAATATCCACGGTGCAACAGATGCGCTACCACCTGGTCGATGTCAGCGGCGGCCTGATGCAGCCTCTGCACTACCTGGCAGAGCGTCCACGGGACAAGCGTCAGGTGGCAGCGACTGTGCAGGAGATCTTCCTCATGTACAACCGGCTGAGTGCGTACTCTGCGGAGGCCCAGTCCCAGCAGCAGGAGGCGAATCACTTTGAGATCATTGCGCAGGATGTGATCGATCTGCAGCTGACGATGTACCTGAGGAAGCACTCCTTTCTGATCGACGCCTTCAACGAGGAGATCATGTGGATGCGCTCCGTGGGTCTGCTGGCCATATGGGCGCGCTGGGAGCTAGACGAGAACCAAATCCGTGCAACGCAATTAAGCTCCCGAGTATTTGGCATACAGGAGCTCTACGTGATATTTATCATGATTCTGATTGGTTTGCTGCTCAGCACGCTTATCTTCTGCCTGGAGCTGCTCTCGGTGCGATCCGTGCGCCTCCAGCGCTGGTTTCTATCCAAGTAAATAATTTGAATAATACTATGTAATTATATTGTTAGCTCTATGTCTAGCTAAACTTGTAAAAATAGTTAATTAAAAAAAATATTTCAGTTGCAATAGAAGAAATTGACACAAAAAAGAAACGAATGGTCACCCTAGCCATGTCCATTTCCCTCATGCAAAAACTAGTTCATTTGCTTGGTTTGTTTACCAAGCTTGAAACGGTTCAGCGGAACTGGTTCATTGCATCAGAAGATCGCTTTGAGTACATCGTTTCGATTAGAAACATACATACATGTATTTAATTGATAAATTCGATATGTTTAGAGACTATAATAGAATTGACGCGCATCCAGATAGAGTGCGATGCCCATCCAGATTAGCGTATTCCATACCGCCTCCAGCAGCAGCAGAAAATGCGTATTCATCGCCCCGATCCGCCAATGCCAGGGCAACATTTTGTGCATCACCGTGTGGCCGACATACATAATGATGGCATTCATGCCGCACTCTGTGAACGGAGAGCCGGACCACAGCTGGCGCACATCCACCACGTAGTAGAGCACCGAGAGCAGCACCAACGCCAGGGCCACTGTGACGAACACAAACGAGAGCGACCAGAGATTCTTGTTGACTGGAATGATGCCATGCTCCTTGGAGAAGCCACACAGAGCGCCGCCCAGCAAACCCAAGAGCGTGGCGCCCAGCAGCCAGCGTCTCAGTCGTGCCTGCCACGTGACATGCACCAGCAGCGTGACGCCAGCAAAGGAGCCCAACATCGCCTGGACAATGCTCAAAAGGCAGCCTGCAAATGGAGAGGAGAAGAGAGCAATCAGAGAGGGAGATAGCATGAGAGAGATACGCAGTGGGAGAATGTGGAGAAGAATACAAGGGGGGTAAAGGAGATAGGGAGTGGATGGATATGAAGATGGAGTGAGGGGGAGAACGAGAGTAGAGAGACGATAGGAAAGTGAGAGAAGAAGAGAAAGCGAAAGAAAGACACATGAAAAGAGAGAGAAAGAACAAGAGAAAGCGAAAGAGACACATGAAAAGAGAGAAAAGAGGCACATGGAGAGAGATGGAGAGAATGCGGTACATGGAGAGAGAGAGAGAAAGTGAATGAGACGTATGCTAAATTATGACAAGGATACAAGGAGTGTACGAGATAGAGGAGAGTGCGAAAGAGAGATGGAGAGAAAAAGTGAAAAGAATGTATGAGATAAGTATTTAATATGCATATACAAAGAGTGAGAGAGACAGGTAGAAAAGATAGATAGAATGATAGGGAGAGGTAGGGGAGATTGGAGCATTCTTAGCATTCAAAGTCTTACCAAAAACTCCCTCCGGATCAAAGGCCGACGCATCGTAAACATATTTGGCCGTGGGATGCTGATAGATGTGCGCATTGCCCAGGATTAGGCGATCCACGTAGCCGGCGGCGCCACCGATGCAATCGGGATCGGCCGCATAGTTGTGCTTGCCGCCCGGACCGAGATAGCCGCGCGGGCAGCCCGGCACGCGCAGGCCGAATGTCAAGCCCAGGTAGGTGGCTATCAGGGCGAGCAGCACGGCCAGCTCTCCGCTGAACAGGCAGATGTCGTAGATGGCGCGCTGCCAGGCGCGCTGTGGACTCAGATAGTCGCGCCGGCTGCAGATCGTGTGCAGGACGCCGGCCACCAGGTAGGCGATGCCGAAGCGCTGCAGTACGCCCATGAGACGCAGCTGCTCCAGCTGGGGGCCGTTCGTTGAATTCAGGCAGAGTCCGATGGCGAACAGTTTGCAGGCGCGCCAAATGATGCGCAAACAGATTCTTGGCTTGCTGATGCCGCGCCCCAGTTGCGCCTTGATCGACAGGGGTATGCAGACGCCCATGATCCAGAGGAAGGTGGGAAAGACGATATCGGCCAGATGGAGGCCATTCCAAGCAGCGTGCTCAATCCAGCTGTAGCCGCCGCCGCCGCTGTTCACGAATATCATCAGGACAATGGAAAGTCTGCAACGGGCGTATGAAACAAAATCGATTCCATTTTACAGGGTATCTCAGTTGCTTACCCGCGGAATGTGTCCAGACTGCGCATTCGCTGGCGCTGCGTCGCCTTCGTCGCTGCATCGCCGATGCTGTCCGCCACGGCAGCTGCCTCATCGTAACGGTAATGTGTCCAGGCGCAGCTCACGAGCTTCAAGAGGATTAGCAGCGAGGCGACCAGCACAAAGACAGAGAGGAATGCTGTACGGGAGTAGAGAAGAGCGGAGTTGAGGTCGAGTCAGTGAAACATTTACAAATCTAGATAGAAAATGTACGAAATAGGGAGCGAGAGAGAGAATGAAAGAGAGTTAGAGTGAGAGAAAGAGAAAGAGAGAGAGCGACACAGCGAAAGAGAGACTGAAAAAGAATAGAAGAGAGTGAGAGAGAGAAGGACAGAGATTGTTGACAGAGATTTACAGTGAGAGAAAGCGACCGAAATAAGGTATAAAACCAGATATTTCTTAACGTCCTACCATTATAATAAATAAATTTATGAATCACTATTTAAAGAGACAGTGAGGTAGAGTTAGAGAGAGATATACGACATGCACGTTTACGAAAGCCAGTCTAACATTTAGTAATATCATTTTAGAGAGCGCGATATACAATAATATGTACATACCTAAGGCTTACGTACATTCAAGAAATATTCAAGCACGTTTACGAGTGCGATATACAAATTGAATTGCCAACGAGAGAAACAACAAAGCCAATGAAAAGCTGGTATAGCTAAGTATGTATTACTATTCTGAGATTCATTGCTGTATTGTAACAACTAAGACAGAATGAAACATACATATAGTAAATAGCTACATACTGTATGTAGATGGAATTGGATGACTGCAGTTTAGGTAAGACACATTGCCAAAAATTGTTGACGAAGGACTACAATGAATGGATTAGTAATGGCTTATCGAAGCGTTTAGGTACAAGCCTACAAAGAAATTAACGTGCGAGAGAGAAAGACAGACAGAGAGAGAAAGACTTGAGAATGAATGACAAATGAACAAGTTTTGTTTTAAGTACATACCAACAATCAGTGCTTATCGCTATTATACATACAAGATGTTAGCGATTAGATTGGTTAACGTTGGAAATCGATACATACCATAATTAATGGGAACGCCGGGTTTGTCAACGCTGAAGCTGCAGCTGCCATTGGCCAGAAGTGTGAGGTTATATACGCCGAATTCTTGTAGATCGCTGCGCCGCAGCGCACACAAAGCCGAGCTGCAAGGGGCGCAGACAAATGAAAGAGAAATCAAGTGAATAAGCATTAACTACAAACAGTCATACACACACATTCATACATTCATACACACGCATACACACAAACACAACGCTTAGGCGTAAGAATGGCGTGTAAACAGATGTCATGATGATATTATTGCAATTGGAGCCGGAGCCATAACGATTATGCATAAGCAGAAAGCATATGAGCGTCGTGGTAGTGATGGGCGTGTGCTGAACAAGACACGAAAGCCAATCACGAAATATGCAAAAATCGCTCATGTTTATATGGATGATTATTATATAATGAGATGCATATGCAAGAGAGTTGTTTATGGCAAATTTAACAATTATCTCGCCTGGAATTTGTTTATCGAATTTTTAAAAACCTGTATTTGTTCGCGCTTGATCGGCACAAGATTAACGATGAACATCAAACGTGGCCATCTCTAGAACGTTGTAAGGCACACATACACACACACACACACACACCAATTGCAACACATACGCATTCTCGTAGGCATAGTGACCCTGATCGTGTGCATAAATTTTGAAACTCAACGGGTAAGCGGTGCTGAGCTTTAACGGTTCCACCGACTCAGCTGAAGGCAGAGCTTTCACTTTGGCAAATGGACACTGAAACGAGAACAACAAAAGCTCTTTAAGAGATGAAATGCGGCGAGAAATGAATGTGTGCAACTGATAACATACCGTATAGCACTCATCGGACAGGGTATACAGATAACTGTGCTCGGGATACTGTGAATGCAAATACATATAAGCCTGATCGACGTGCAGGGCACGCATATCCAGATCCCGCCAATGGGGCTCCGTGTACTCCACCAGAAACGACATTCCTGTGACTAGTTGCGTTGTGATTGTAAATTAAATTCAATTTATTCAATTTGGCAATTGTTTGCAGTGCAGTGCGCCGTTGACGACTAACTGCGCTCCAATGGCTACAAAATTGCCATATCGACGCCTCTTTTTTTGTATACAAAACGAAATCGAAACTATTTCGAGTGCGCAATAAAAACAAATAAGGCGAAAGAGTCTAGTAAGGCGACTACTAGATATCCTCACCATAGGTACACATATATGTATATGCATACAGAAACAAAACAACTAACATGAAAAGAAATCAACATTCATTATTAAAGTTATTATTTCTTGTCAATAAATAAATGCCATCAAATAATAAATATCTATGTATATCTACATATATCAGGGTGCGACCGTGTTACATATTAGTTGAAAAATCGTGAGTGCTCTCATACTTAGTGCATTAGCAAAACAAACTTGTTGCAGTGTTGCGCAATGCCGTAGCAGTGCTGACAACGTGCTGTTATCGATAACAGAACAGCTGATTTGCCCTGCTGAGTGGCCAAGAAATAATTGTTGCTCCTCCTTGGCTGTGCTCGCTACTTTCTTTGCCTGCCCGACCAAATGGCCGCTGGCGCCACATCGTTAACCAAATCGGAGACGCGTCGCCTATGCGCCATCACTTTCTTTGCCCGGCTGCATCCGGGCGATGTGTGCGGCAGCAATGGTCTGCCCCTCACACCCAATTCGATTGCAATTTTAGGGCGTTCCCAGCGGCTTAAGGAGCTGCAGCATGAGCATTTGTGCCAGTATTTGGATGTGGTGCGCGGCAAGCATGGTAACCACTGGACTAACAAGCTCATCCACTCGTTTCCCTGATTTTCATACAGCAGAACTTACGCGTTTCTTTTTTTTAGAGCGCACCATTGTCGTCTCGGAATATGTGGGCTGCACACTGGAGGATTATGTGAAGCGGCACTCACAGACCCCAATCAAACAGACACATATACTGCGCATATTCCATCAGGTGGCCAGCGGGCTGGCTGTGTTGCATGCCCAGAGGCTGGTCGTGCACAATCTGGAGCCGCGTCACATACTCGTGGAGGGCAGCAAAGATGCTGTGCAGGTGAAGCTCTTCAACTATGGCATGCATCATATGACCAAGGGCGGCGCCTATGTGCCCTTTCCCATTGGCAATGTGCGCTATATGTCGCCGGAGCGTCTGCTCGGCGTCAATGGCAACATCAAGAGCGATGTCTGGGCCTGGGCGATGCTCTTGCTGGAGCAGCTACTGCAAACGGAGCTGTGGCCCAAGCTGAAGCTGAGCAACATTGCCTGGAAGGTGTTGGCCTTTGCGCGCAATACCAAAGTCAGCGTTGTGGAGAAGATCGCACGTGAGCATCAGCGCCTGGAGCTGTACCAGCAGCTGCCGCTGGAGGTGCGCGAGCTGCTCGAGCGTTGTCTGAGTGTGCTGCCCGCCCAGCGTCCACTGCCCGCCGAGTTGCTACAGCATCCATGCTTTGCCCAGCTGAGCCAGGCGCCGGCAGTGCGACCGGATGCATCGGCAGAGCCTGTGCCGCTGCTGCTGCGCTGCCCCCTGACGCAGATCTATCACCTCTGGCAGCTAGCCGGCGGCGACGTGCAGGCGGAGCTGAAAAAGGAGGGTCTCATACGCAGCGAGGCGCCTATTCTGGCGCTGCCCCAAATTGTGCGACTCAGCGGTGCCAGCGTCTGCCCGCCGCGCAGTCAATCCTATTTGATGGACGACCGTGTGGTGCTGCTGAAACTACAGCCACTGCTCCAGCGGCTCAGTCGCTTGCCAGCCTCCGTCTACTTTCCGCTGCTGCATATGCCGCGCCAACAGCAGCAGCAGCAGCAGCAACAACAACAGCAGCAGGAACAGCAGCAGCAGCTGCCTCTGCTGATAAGGGAACGTGATATTGAATATCAATTTCGTCGCGTGCGTCTCTTCACACGCCTACTCCACGGCTATCCGCACACAGCGGAGCAGCTGCAGCGCGAAGCAGCCATTGATATACCGCCGCTGCTGCGCGGTCCCATTTGGGCAGCTCTGCTGGGCGTTCTGCCCAATGCGAGCTACGCGAAAATTGATAAGTTCACAGCGACCAGCACGGATCGCCAGATCGAGGTTGATATACCGCGGTGTCATCAATACGATGAGCTGCTCTCCTCGCCGGACGGACATCGCAAGCTGAAGCGTCTGCTCAAGGCCTGGGTGACGGCCCATCCACAGTACGTCTACTGGCAGGGACTCGACTCGCTGACTGCGCCATTTCTCTATCTCAACTTTAACAATGAAGGTGAGAGCGAGAGAGAGAGAGAGAGACAAAGGGAGAGAGAGAGATAGGCATAGATTATAATAGTATGAAAGTATCAACTTTTATAGGGTTTTAGTTTCTGTTTCCTTCATGCATTCACATATTTATCTTCTCTTTCGTTTCTTTTGTCTTTTAGAAATGGCATTCCTGAGTCTGTTCCGCTTTATACCCAAGTATCTGCAGTGGTTCTTTCTGAAGGACAACTCGGCTATCATTAAGGAGTATCTCTGTAAATTCTCTCAGCTGAGCGCATTCCATGAGCCGCTGCTGGCACAGCATTTGGCCAGCATCAACTTTATACCCGAGCTGTTTGCCATTCCCTGGTTTCTCACCATGTTCTCGCGTAAGTCTGCGCCAGATTGACTAACCGACTGATTGATTGATTGATTGGACTTGCTTGCAGATGTTTTTCCGCTGCACAAGATTCTGCATCTGTGGGACAAGCTGATGCTGGGCGACAGCTCCTATCCGCTCTTCATTGGCGTTGCCATATTGAAGCAACTGAAGAGTACATTGCTCAACTCTGGCTTCAATGAGTGCATCCTGCTCTTCTCCGACCTGCCCGACATTGTGATGGAGAGCTGTGTGATTGAGTCCCAAAAGATGTACGAGTGTACGCCGAAGAGCATAACCCATCGGCAGCATGCGCTGCGCGTACAGACGCCACATGTTCTGGTTGGTGAAAGTGAATCCGTTTTTTCCATTCGATTTCATTTCACTCATGTCTTTGCCCCATTTTGCAGGACATTGGCGCCGGGGAGGTGGAGCTGCAGCATTTGCAGTCTGAGCTGTGTCCGCGCATCAGCGCCAAGGATGTGCATCAGCTGCTGCTGCACGCACCAGAACAATTGGCCCTGATCGATTTGCGTAGCGTTGTCGAATTCGGCCATGTCCATGTACCACATTCAATCAATATACCCTTTGCTACCGTACAGCTGGGGGAGCAGCGCCTGGAGGCGTTGCAGGTGCCCCAACTCGAGGTGCAGCTAAGACAACGCATTGTCGTCTGTGTGAGCAACATACATCAGCATGCCGTGGAGGTTCGTCTGAATACATAATTATGTATATAGAATTATCTGATGTATCTCTCAATTCTCATTTCAGTTCTCGCAATTTTTGGTCGCCTGCGGCGTCCTACGCACCTGCATTCTACACAAGGGCTTCAATGTCCTACACTCAATTGAGCCAAATATACTCATCTCGAATTGATCGGGCTATACTATACTATATCCAACCTATTGTGCTATTTTATAATACTATATATACGTATATGTGTACATATGTCAGTCGGTATATACATATATGCATACATAGTTTGTATATTATGTCTATTAAAATATATAAGTTTTTTGTCCGTATATTATTCAAGTTTTATAAAACTACATACATTGTACTCGAATCATATTCACCCAATATAAATCGTTTTTTTTTTTTTTTTTATATGAAAAATATATAATAATGCATATAGATATATTATTATGTTTCACAGTTCTTCTGCTTGTGATTAAGTCAATAAATGAGTTTTATATATTATGTTAGATAAATAAATTTTTGCGGGGATCCCCAGCAAAATTTTTGCTTTAACCCAACAAACATTAAACAAAGCTCATAATGTAATTATTAATTTTATATATAGAATAACAAACAATCATAAAAAAAAATATATATATATGTATATATATATATATATATATATATATATATACACATCAAGATTTAGAAAAATTAAATAGTCTTTTGAAATTAACAGTAAAAAAAGTAAAAATGTTATTATTTTATCTTAACATTTCACGTTGAGCATTTTTGCGTTACAGTGAGCTTCATTTTGCGTTGCTGAACGTCTCTCGACATACGTTACGCATTTCGCTTTACGATTAGCAATTACAGCATTAAATTGGCTCCGATTTGCGTTAACAGCGCTGCTCTGACAACTGACGACGCTGTTAACGCTTACAATTCACGTTGCGCAAATAACGTTTGTTTACTTGCTGCTCAGTTTGATGAAGTAGTTTCACACGAGACGATTCCAGCTAGGAGAAGTACATGTAGTCAAAGAAACGTCAAGCAAATAAGTGAAAAAGTTGTGCGCGTAGAAGTTCAGGTGCGAAAATTGCAATACGCGTAGTAACAATTTGCGACGCAATGCATTAACAAATTGGCCACGCGTGCAAGTGTCAATACAAATACATATATGTCTATGCATATGTGTATATCAACGCAGTGCCAAACGCAATGAAACAGGTGGGCGCCTTTACTGTGGGGGTGGCTGATTGAATTTTTGTGAAATGGAATTTTTACGTTGTTGTTGTTGGCTGATGATGTTATGTTTGCAGCGTCAGCGTTTTACTCTTTTTTGTGACTGTTTTTTTTTTCTCCTCTTGTTCTCTTGCTGTGTGCAAATTGTACAATACTCATGCCTATGTATACGTGTGCGTGTATGTGTCTGTATAGGTGTACATGCATATGCTGATAAAAATGACAACATGCTTGTCGTTAGTGAGTGTGCTCTGTGTATGTGCAGCAGCTGCGTCGTCAACGTCAACGTCAGCGTCAGCGTCATTAGGAGCAGCATCATAAAACCTATTTAACTGACCAATGAATCACTTAATCTGAAATGATGAAAGTCTTTTGTAATCTCTATCACACTCATACACCCATGCAAACAATGGAGGTTGCGGTGGAGATGCTTGGGTTGGTGGGTCCGCCCCGTCACCACCACATTTGTTGTTTATGGCGCCCTCATATTGCTATCAACAGACGGCGATGGTGACGGCGGCAGCGACTGCGACAGCGACTGCGAATTCTGCTGCTGCTGCTGGTGGTTGACTCGCGCGTGCCAGCCCAACAAGTTTCTTATTGGGATGATAAATTGTGTTTGCCAGTGAGTGTTGTGCCTGTGTGTGTGTGTGTATTTGCAAACACGATTTCAAGATGATTCCTGGGCATATGACGCAAGAGCTTGGCCATTTTTTTATTGCATACTTTTCTGTGTGTTAATGGGTCGAGTGTATACATACTGTGGCATACATACGTGTGTGTGTGTGTGCGAGTGGGAGAGTTGTTATTAATATGGCCGCCCTGGCTAGCTGTTAAATGGGAGAGCGTCGTTGTGCGGAGAGCACGTTTAACGGCATAACTCATAACAATTTCAATGCAAATTTTTGTGCTGTTAAGTCCATACATATGTGTGTGTGTGCGTATTTACATTTGAGTTGATTAAATTTTTGATGTGTGTTTCTTTGTTCCTCTGTGATAGAGTGTATGGGTATGCGTATGCGTATGTGTGTATGTGTTTGTGTGTGAGGACAACAAGTATCGATTCCAGGCCATGGCTTCAGGATTGCCGCTTGGCCCAAATCGCGCACTAGGCCTAGAGTTGGGGCGGACGCAAATCAAAGCTCTGCTGTGCGGCAACCCTAAAGCGACGCGACGCGCAGCAAAGCGGCGCTGCTTTGCATAACTTGTGCCAAGCTGACCAGCTTTGTATGTATGTATGCTTATAGAGATGGGCGTGTACCGCATTCTTCAGCAATGAGAACACGAGAATTTAAGTATTATTTAAGTATTTTATTTGTTGGTATTTCCATTTTTGAGAACGTGTTTATTTATAAAAAAATATAGATATGAAATTTTACTAGGAAATATTTACAAAAAAGGTTTTTTTTGCTGATTTTTTACAAGTTTGTGTAGACTCAAATAGTAATGAATACATATACATATTGATTATAAATAGTATTTCATATGGTATTTAATACATGATAGATTTATAATAACTAATCAATTAATTAGAACAGCATGCATTTGGTTTTCAGCTTAAAAGTTTGAGCATATATGTGTATTCACGTACGCGTGTCACGCACTCCTCTCTAGTATAATATGTACATACACGTATAAACTGCGCGGTACTAAGACAGCAGCAGAGGCAGCAGCAGCAGCCGAAGCAGCAGCAGCAAAAGTGTTGTGCACAACGCGGATGTTCAGTTTAGACTTTCCTTTTGGCCAAATAACGTGCAACGTTTCCTTCTACACAAATGTTTCGCAAACGTAATCGTCTTTAAATTTTCTATCTGTCTATACATATATTCATGTGCGCATCATATACAGACAGGTGTGCGTGTGTGTGTGCTTGTGTTTGTGGGGAAATATGGTAACGAAAGCAAAACACTCTCATATATAATTTAAACAAAATCAAAGCCTATTTCCCAGGCTCAATGCGAGGGTGGGGGGTTGTTTGCTTTTTGCTTGCTACCTCAACAGATTTGCGTGTGTATGTTGTGTGTGTGTATGTGTTGGCCTCGTGTCATGTGACCGCGCGCGCAAAAACGGTTTCACCACGATTCGCATAGTGTGCGACACATCGTCCTCCAGCCAGGACACGATGGAGCGCCTGTTAGCGTAAGCATGCGCAATGTTCGCCTACTACGAGCACTCCACTCACACACACACGCGCTCACACAAGCCTACGAAGACGAGTGTGTGAAAATTGGCAAATCTTGTGCTCATTTGTTGTATTTGCGATAAGCAATAAATGAGGCAACAACAGCTAACTGTAAAAATTCGAACTACCAGAGCCCATAGCGCCTCAAGCTATGCAACAGTAAACTTTTTTTTTTGTTCATTCTTTTTCTGCCTGCCTAAACAAAGCAAACAGTAGCACGAAGGAGAGTTAAGATGGTGGGAGAGTTGGAGAGTGCATGTGTTAGAGTGGGCGAACGCGCGTGCCAGGCGGTGCTACTGTGCTGCTGTGTTGCGAATGATGGAGAGTGGGAGAAAGCGTCAGCATTGGAGAGCATTTGCTTTCAGGGTTGACGAGCGAACGCTCTCTCACTGTGTCCTCGCGTGCGCCAAACAAGGTGCAAAAAATGCCTTTACAAACACGACGACAGCGACGCCACTCGGCGACGAGCCTCAGCTTCAGCAGCAGCAACAGCAGCAGAAGCAGAAGCAGCAGCTCCAGTTGCCATTTAACCAGCTAACCAGCAGCATTTTTCTCGTCTTACATATCCCCGTGTGTGTCCGACTTCGACTTTGACTCCGTCTACGTTTTTCTTCACTGTGTGTGATTTTTTTTTTTTGTGCCGTTGTCTCGTCTTTGTGTGTGTGTGTGCGTGCGTGCGTGTGTGTAAGTGTGTGTGTTTTTCTAGTGAAAAATCAATTGATACACATATTTTTGTTATTAGTGCGAAAAATACTTTAAAATATGCATTAACAAATGCCTATCGAGTATACTAAAATCGTCTCTCGAAACACCAAATGCAGCTGTAATTGTTGAAAGCAAGCATTTCTACTGAACAATTTACCGTTAAAGTTTTTTTTCCCCTTTTTTTGTTGGTTTTAAGTTTTTTTTTGTTTGACGTGAGCTGCTGTTATTTAAAAAAAAAAAATATATATATAAAACAACGGGAGCTGAACGAACACGGCTGCGGGCATAAGGCGCCAAGAGTACAAAAGAAATAAATATAAATAAAATGTAGAGTAAATTCAAGTGAGTAGCAACAAGCGCATAAAAAGGAAGGAACACAGAAAAAAAGAAGATGAAAAACGTACAGCTATTTGCGTGCGTGTGTGTGTGTGTATGTATGTGTATGTGTGAAAAAATCTGTAAATCGAGGTTATCTATACGTGCACACACACATACAGACAAGTGTATGTATGCTAGAAAAGAAGAGAGAAGCGAGTGGGAGGGAGTGTAGAGGCAGAGGAGCGAGTGAGAGAGTATGACTTGTGTGCTCAGCCTCCCAGCGCCAAGTACTGCTGTTTACACAACCAACAACAAGCGATGGTATTTTAATCATCATTAGGCAGCACACACACTCATATACATAGAGAAACGGCTCGTTGTCGTCGGTCAGGCGCCGTGTATGTATGTGTGTATGTGTATGCTATTGTTGTTGCTCACTGCACGAGTCCAGGTTCCTTCTGTGTGTGTGTGTGTGTGTGTGTATGCCTTTGCCTTTTTGTTTGTGCAAATTAAATTTAAAGTATGCCAGCGATTCGCTTTTCACTTTTTACTGTTGCGCGCTCGTTTGTCCTGGCGACCCAGCTAAATACACTCACACACATGCACATGCAAACAGTGTATGTATGTACACGTGCATGTGGGATTATTTGTTTGACAAAGCGTAAACAATTGCAAATAAGAACTGGCAGCGTTGTGGACGTCGACGTCGACGTCTCCGTGCGATGAGTGTGCGAAAAATCGATTTGAGTGCCATCCCAAAAATAAGTGCAAATACATACATACACACATATATATATACTTATATATATATACAACAATATATACCCACAACTATACACAGGCATTGATACATATAGACAAATATAACCCATATACTGGCCATCTACGTATGTATGCGCGTACGTATGTATGTTGCCATAGGTCTGTGTGTGAGTGTTGTGCAACAAAATGTGGCAACAGCGATTTTCAATTATATCCATTTAACATTTGACTCTTGACACTGCCCACAGCCACATCGCATTTACACACACACAAACACACACGTGCACGCACACTCGCACAATCGCATAGAGCACCGCAGAGGCATACAAAGCTCATTACCATCCCTCATTGCCATTTCTTTAGTGCTATTTCGCTCGCACTCGCTGGCAAAAGCACAAGCATAAGCAGCGCTGCTCGTTTTATAGCGAGCACCTTTTCAACGGCCATTGCATTAAAAATGAAGATGGTACTTGAGCGCGGCTTGTTGTGCCTTCAATTAATTTATCATCGCCCCGCAAGCTAAGTCCAGGCGACAAAGCCGTCGTTAACGTTATTGTTATGGCAAAAAAAAATATCGATAGAACATTTTGATGCAAATGAATTGTTTGAGCATTTGAGATAAATTTGATGATATTGCTATGTTACAGGCAATGAATAAATATTTATACATTATGTGTGTATGCATATGTATAGATATATTATTCTGATTAATGTAAATATATGTATGCATACATTGTACGTGTATAAACTTATGCGATTTTTATATACAGGCATATATTTGTATGCCTATAAATATATATATTAATCATATTGTATTTAACATTATTTACAGAAAATCAAATAAAAATCAAAGTGAAATCAACATGTCCCGTTATTTACAAAGCGGTCATAAAACTAGCATTGATATCGGTAAACAACATTATTTACTTTGCATGAAAATTGCATTTTGATGGCTTTGCGCCCAAAAGTGGGCTATAGTTTTTATACGCTAAGCAAATGTATACTAAGAGCCATGCTAACGATACCATTCGATGGTTTAGCAAGCGTGTCTGTGAGTGTGTTGTGTGTGTGGGTGTGTGTGTTTTTGTAGTTTTTGCTATTGCATCATCAAACTGTTAGACATCAGCCATTAAAGCCACATGCAACAAAACTTTTTCAACTAATGCATTTCTCTCTCTCTCTCTCTCTCTTTCTCTCTCTCTCTCCCTTTTGTTTTTTGCCCATCTCCCACTCTTTGATAATTGCAGCTCTCAATTCGACTATTGCTAACCTAGTTTCACTTCCCAAACAACAAAAATCAACAAAAAAACCCCAAGAAATAATCTAAAAAGCAAAAACAAAAAGAAACAGAAGACAAGGAACTATAATTGCAACGGTTTAAAAAAGAAACAACAAGAAATTCAAAGCATTATCCCAGGAAAAAAAAAGATAAAGCGAAAGAAGAAGAAGAAGAAGAAGAAGAAGAATTAAACAGCAGCTGAAAGAAGCTGCCACCCTTTTTAGATAACCTTTTGAAACAACCTTCAGATCGGCTGTAGCAGCAGGACGACTCATGTTACAAAAATGAAAAAGTTCACATTCAAAGGAGTTCTGGATGGATTTCGACAAACCGTACAGCCACAAGCCATACGCCAGGAGCAGGAGATACTCGAACAATTAAAGCCCGAACATTTTACACTGAAAAAAGTAAGTGAGGAGATGAAAATGAAACTGGATGAAAATTACAATTAATAATAATTATTGTTGTATATGTATGATATATGTTATATATGTATAATATCTATGTTTAGCATCAAAGGACATAGATACTTGGATGTTTGATTATATATATATTTTGTACAACATTTTATCTATGTCAAAATCGGAAAAGAATTCAAGGTGGAGCTAATAATATATGAGAGATAAAAGATATAATTTATCAAAGATAAAGATTAGAAGACAGTAAATAGAAGTTAGTAAATAGAGGACAAGAGATAAAAGATAGAGCTAAGAAAGATGAAATATGGTAGATGGAACATTAAGTATAAGAGATTCAAGATATGAGGCAGATAGTAGATGATAAAAAGTAGAATATGGATAAGAAGGTGAGAGATGAAAGATGAAACATGAAAAATGAAAGATGAAAAATGAAGTATGGTAGATAAAAGACAGGGAACTAAGCAGGATTAGAGAATGTATAAGAAAGATGAAAGATAGTAGATGGAAAATTAAGTATAAGAGATTAAATATATGAGGCAGATAGTAGATGATAAAAAGTATAATATGGAAGATTTAATTAGATGATAGAACTTTAACGGTTAAGAAGGTGAGAAATGAAAGATGAAATATGAAAAATTAAAGATGGAAGATAAAAGACAGGGAACTTAAGCAGGATTAGAGAATGTATAAGTTAAAAGTTATACAATATGTATATATAACATATAACATAATATATGTATATGCATTACCTAAACTGTATATGTAAACCCCAGTGATCCACTATGAAGACAATTGACGTCTGTTGTAGCCAGCGGATGTTTTATTTGGTAGTTGTATTTTATAAAGTCTATCATAAGACACACGCGGCTATAACAGAAATGCTCAACAAGCAACCTAAACCAGATAGGTCCTAAATATTCATATTTCCACAAACTATATTCTTTCTATATTTATCTACATTTGTCTATATTTTGTAATCTTGTTCTCTGTTTTTGCAGACCTTTCGCCATGGCTTTCCATATTCACCCACATCCTTTGCCTTCGATCCAGTACAAAAACTATTAGCGATTGGTGATAAATCCGGCTATATACGCATGTAAGTTTTATAATAGATCAATAGAGCGCGATTGGAGCTAGTCACATGATAGTAAATTCGAGTAAAAAAAATAGAAAATTCTGCCAATATTTCCATGTGCTCTAGCATTTCTATAAGACATTATCTACGCAGTCTGGCAACACTTGGAACAGACTTGAGTTCTTTATGAATTATGAGAGGTATAATACCCAGAAATCTTAAAATTCAAATAGCTTTCTTTAAGCTGATTTTTATTAAGTTGGCTGTAACTATCTGGCAGCACTGCATCGCATTAAGTTGGCTGCGCCTGCAGATGAAATAGTCTATTGAATGTCAATTTGAAACGGAATATGCATATGATTAAACTACATTCAGCTCTGCTTTTTCTCGTAGCTTCGGCTTCACTAGAGTGCTATTTGTGTAGTGTGACCGCATTAAGTTGCCTGCGGCTTATATATATAGATATATATATATAGATATACATATATAGTTAGTTCAATTGAATTCTAGCCATCTGGCAGCACTGAAATGAACTTGGCTGTTACAAAAGCTCGTGCATAATTGACTTGATTTCATTATGAGCTGGGCAAATTCAATTAAAATCAACTTGATTGGCTAACTTTTGTGTGATTTTTCTTCCTCTCTGTGTATAGCCTGGGCCGACCTTGCGTCGATGCGCATGCCAAACATGAAGGTGAATCGGAATGCGCCGTCCTCTTCGCCCAGTTTCTGGTGAACGAGGGCGCTTTGGTGACGGTCACAGCCGACGATACAATACACTTGTGGAGCATACGCCAAAAGACACCGCGCATTGTGCAGAGTCTCAAATTTCAGCGCGAGCAGTAAGTCCCAATCAAACCCAATATCGTATATATGTACATGTGTACATATCTCTATATGTATATATATATATATATATCAATCTGTCTCTTTCAGTGTCACTTGCATACACTTGCCCGTGGGCAGCAAATGGCTGTACGTGGGCACCGAGAAGGGTAACATACACGTCGTTCACATAGATACATTTGCACTTAGTGGATATATTATTAACTGGAATAAAGCAATTGAAGTGTAAGTATTAACATTGCCCATTGCTGTTAAGTGTCTCTGTTTAGGCTATGTAAAGCGATCAGAAACGTATTTCTCTCTGAAATCGTAACATTTTAAGCTATCTTTACAGCTTATGTTAAGTTTACAGCTGTTAGGCATACATAGACTGTTACATACAGCACTCAGTACAAATAGTTATGTTAAGTTTACAGCTACTTAGCATACGCTGTTAATAACAGCACAATGTTATTGCTAACGCTATGTTAACTTAACAGCTGTTAGGCATTCCCCTCTTACATACAGTACTCGGTTAAAATTAACAGTCTGCTGTTAAAGTTATGTTAAGTTTACAGTTGCTGTTATATACAGTATTCAGTTAAATTGATCAGCGTGCTGTTAAAGCTATGTTAAGTATACAGATGTTTAGCATACACTGTTATATACAGTCTCAATTAAACTGAGCAGCGTGCTGTTAGTGTTATGTTAATGTTTCAATTGTTCAATTGTTTAACATTCACCTTTTGTACTGTATACACAGTCAAATTTAACAGTCTGTTGTTAAAGCTATGTTAATTACCCTTGATAAGTTTCCAGTTCTTAAGCACTTTAACAAATTACATGTTATTAACATATTGTACACATTTTTGCAAATATTTGCAGGGTTAGAACTAGTCATCCAGGTGCTGTGATTGCGTTATGTGATAATCCATTGGATGCAAACAAGGTAAGGGCTATAAATTTCGTACAATTCGGATTGGCAACTAATCGATGGATTAATCCCATATCAATGACAGTTGCTTATTGCATTTGAGTGTGGGCTGCTTGTGTTGTGGGATCTGAAGGCGAAGGCCGCTGAATTCCGATGGCAAGCAGCGGAGGCGGTTAAATCGTTGGCCTGGCATTACGAGGGCAAATACTTTGTATCCTCACATACGGACGGATCCATTTGCTCGTGGCCGACCAAGGCGCAGCCGAAACCCCAGTCTCAAGTTTGTCCGCATGGTAAGTGAAAAGGAAATACGTTTGTTGACCATTTGATTAATTGACTCGAGTGCCCGATGATGCAGCGAAAATCAACAAGGATGGCAATGCGGAAAAATGTAAACCGATTTATAAAGTTGACCTCAAGTCAAGCACAACTGGGTAAGTCTCTCTTCACTCTCACTCCCTACACTCTCTTTCTCTCCCTCTGCCTTCCTTTCACTATGATGACTTTCATTTTCTTGTTTGGTTTTCTATTCGCAGCGAAACCTTTACAATTTTCTCTGGCGGCATGCCATCGGAGAAGAGCTCAAAGTCGAATTGCATCACAGTTATGGTGGGCAAGACCACAACCGTTTTGGAAATGGAGCATGCCGTTTGCGATTTCATTACCCTCTGCGAGAATCCTTGGCCCTGCGGTTCGTTACGAAATTGCTTGAACTTGATCTAGCACAATTTCTATATAATTCTCTTACAATCTCTATAGAAACCCAGGAACCATATGCGATAGCTGTGTTGCTTCAATATGACTTAGTATTAATAGACTTATTAACGCCCGGTTTTCCATGTTTTGAATCGCCTTATCCAATGGACTTACACGAATCACCTGTTACATGTTGCACATATTTAACCGATTGCCCATCGGATTTGGTTCCTGCTTTCTATTCTGTAAGTATGCTGCTCGTAAAAACTGGGGAATTCCATGTAAAAAGTATAAATTAGCTTTAAATAACATGAAATTTGACATGAGGATAGATGGTAGAGCAGTTAATCAGCATAAATATGCTTGAGATAGATTACTTTGATTGAAATCAACTGTTTATTAGCTGATATTATATATATATATATATAGAGAGTATGCAGCGATCAAACCTACTCAAGCTTAACATGAAGATATAAAATTTAACATAAGGATATAAAATTTAATCTTCATTTGGGATTTCATTCAAAGTGCAATGTTTTATTATGAATTATTAGAGCTTCTTACCCGCAGTCAATTCATTGTCTATCTCTCTCTCTTTTCTCCCCCCTCTCCCTCTTTCCCTCTCTCATTTAGGTTGGTCGCACAACGACTAGTAAAAAGACAGGCTTCTCGGAGCGCGAATGGCCCATTTCGGGTGGCGAATGGTCGCCAGCCTCGTGCAGTTATTCGGAAATTGTCATCACTGGCCATCAGGATGGTTCACTTAAGTTCTGGGACTCTGGCGCTGGCACCCTACAGGTAAGACACATTGCTCCATATCGTTAAAGATATCCTGTAAATCACATTTGTTTTTTTTTTTTTTTTTTTTTCGTTTGTCCCGCCCGCGCACGCAGATTTTGTACAAATTGAAGACGGCGAAAATATTCGAGAAGCCGCGCCATGTTAGCCACTCGGATAGCGATAATCCGTTGGCAGTGCATTTGATATTTTTATGCTCGGAGTCGCGGCGTCTCTGCGTCGCCGGCGCAATGGGCCAGGTAATGTTGTTCAAGTTTCGCAAGGTCGAATCCACATCGGAGGTGCTGGTGCTGGAGATACCAATACTCTATGAGAATTTTGATGACATCTATGGCACCAGTCCGGAATGCGATTTTCTCACCGGACATCAGGTGCAGAAGACCGAATCGAGTGATTCGGATAAGGTGCGTACCAATGCTGGATTATTGTAGAACGCTATGTACATATGTGTAGTAGATAGGCTAAACTATTTATCGATATTTATCGATAACAATAGAAATTGTTAGTATTGCTGCACAAGTTAATTATTTTATATTGTATATACATATATAATATAGTATTCTTACTTATGATTTCCTCTCTCTCTCTCTCTCTCCTTCCCTCTCTTGCAGACGGAATGCACGCTGAAGGTTCGCTTTGGTGCTCAGCGCAAGCCGCCGGGCTTTCAATCCCAATTGGTTTGCCTGACAACGGGTCCCAATCGTCGCACCGTACAGGTGACATCGTTGTGCATCAACTCTAGCTATGGACTGTAAGTAGCACTCACGTTATCTAAACCCCAACTCATACAGTGTCCTGCCATACAACACACACATACACACTATCTCTCTCTCTCTCTCTCTCACACACACACACACACGCGGACAAAAAATAATATATTTAAAAAAAAAATCAATTTTAGTGCAGTATTCGTAGTTTGTATTCGTAAATTGTGCATGAAGTTCTCTGAAAAAAAAAAATAAAATAAACAAAGCGCCTGAAGTACTTAGAGCCCATAGAAAAAATAAATAAATAAAAACCAAGTAAAGCCCTACTAAACTCCCCACTCGCCACAGTTTTGGACGCAACGAGAGCCTATCCCGCGCGCACCCGCTTAACTCTGTTCGTTTGCCATTTTGCGTTGTGTAGTTGCAACCAGTTGCCAGCTAGAGCTAGAGCTAGAGCTAGAGCGAGTGCCAGCAGCTATTCGTTACTTAGTTAGCGTGCGTTTGTCTTTTGATTTTGATTTGGTTTTTGTTCTCAGTAGTTGCCAGCAGCTACTCGTTACTCGCCATGCATAAGTCATTCGCTGCTCACTGATGTCAGCTACTCGTTATTTAATACTCGCTACTCGTTGGCGTTCGTTTCTCTAATATTTGTTTGCCTTTTAGGCCAATTTCAAATGCCAAAACGAGCTACAAGTTTTTAAAGTAGTAACGAGTAGTTATTATCTACTCGCTACTTTGATAGTCTCACTTCCAGAAATAAGTCAATCGATGGAACTTTTTCCGTTCTCCTTTGGGAGCAGCGATTAGTCGTAATTGCTATCTGGTGCAAGTATAAAGAGCTACTCGCTACTTTTTACTCGCTACTCGTTACTCGCTACTCCTTACTTGTTAGACATTCGAGTTTTTTCTTTGCCAACTTGATCAAGTTCTTACAGCTATTAAACTAGAACGCGTCTGAGCAGTTACTCGTTACTTGGTGCTCGCCAATTGTCACTCGTTACTTGTCAAACGTTAGTGTTAGGCTTTCATTTGCAAATAATCAAAAGCGCTCTCAAGTAAAACAAGTGCAAGCAGCTGCTCGTCACTCGCTATTAGCTATACTCTACTCGCTACTCGCTACTCGTTACTCGTTACTCGTCACTCGTTAGTCGTTGAAGCGAGCTGCTTTTGCAATGGCCGCCAGCTGCCACACCTGCCAGGTAGAAGGATTAGGCACTCGTTATTTGCTACTCGCTACTCGCTACTCGTTACTCGTTACAGTTAGTCTTAGGCAGTCAAGCATTAGGCAGTTTAATTAAATCAGACTTTAGTGCCTGCGTGTGCGTGTGTGTGTGTGTGTGCGTGTGCTGGTGTATATGAGCGTGATCTATAGTAGGTATATATCGATAAAGATTTTTTGGTTAACTCGTTGGTAATTATTTTGTGTTCTCTTTTGTTGTTGATTCTGGATTCATTTTGATTGGTTTTTGCTGGATGCCGCTGTTTTTGTTGACATGATGGCGTGTTCTTTTCTTTTTTCTGTTTTTAGAATGGCTTATGGTACCGAATATGGACTTGTCATAATTGATATAATCCAAAAAATTTGCCTATTGAGTGTTGCATGTCCCGATCTGTATGGCGCACACGATCCTTATTCGCGAACACCAAAAAGTCCAAAACGCATTGAAAGCAAAGAGGAGCAAAGCCGTTCGCCCAGTTCTGATCAGGTAAGTGATTGATTGATTGATTGATTGATTCACGTAAACAAATATGATTGATAACGATTGACGATGATGACGTTGATGATGATGATGATGATGATGATAATAGTTAATATGCTAATCAATGATCATCATCGATTGATCATGATTGTTAACGCTAATACTGATGATGATGATGATGTTGATGATTGATCATGATTGATTGATGTTAATAATGATTAATGCTAATGTTGCCGCCTTCAATCAAATGACACTAATACAATGACTCACACACACACACACACACACACATTGACACACGCGCATCAAGTGTTAGACAAATAGCGCTCGAATATGCCATTGATTGATTTGATTGATTGATTGATGTATTAATCATAACACATTTAATATGTACACCTAAATTGATGAATTGATTGATTAACAATTGTAGAAAACGCATCTAACAGCTTTTTCCTTTAACAGTTAAATTAAGCTAAAATACTAAAATACTAAACAAAAATTAGACCAAACTAAATTTGCATTTGTCTGGCATTTTGATTGAAGTACATTTTTTTTTTTAATATAAACAAAAATTTACTCTACACATATACACTACATACACATACACACTTCCTTTGAGTTTGCTCCCCTCATTTTTAGTACAAAATACCAAAAAAAAAAAAAAAATAAAAATAAAAAATACTACACACACATATATGCAAGCAATATTTTAAAAAATATTTACATAATAGCTAAAAGTACATATTGATATATAATATATATTAGTTTTTTTTTTATATACTATAAATACTATATATACATATATGCTATATACTATACATGTATGTATATATGGTATATATATATGTATGTATATTTATAGCTAAATTATTTTAGTAGCCTCTACCAATTCATATTAAATATTATAGTAGCATTTTATTTAGTATATTTTATATATAATCTAGTTCTTTATATATATACATATATATATATATATATATACATACATATGTATAAATATATATATATTTTTGCAAATTAAATTCTATTTCGTTTCCTGTCCTAGTTTCTCAAATCGGCTTGGCCGACTGATTTCTATATATCTATATATATGTATATCTATATATATTTATATATATATATATACTCGCTCTCGCTCTCTCTGTCTCTGTGTATCTCTCTCTGAACTTTTATGCTTAGCATTTTATTTTATTTTATATTTTTTGTATTATTTTCTTAAGCATTTACAGCTAAATCTATTCAATATTTTTGCTAGTATTTTTCTAGTATTAATTGTTTTGCGTATGTCTAGTCTAGCTTTCAGTTGCGCAAACAAAAATTACGAAACTCTTGATACTACAGGCATTAGTATGCGCTCTCTCTGTCTCTCCTTTACGCTCTCTAACTCCTATATATCTCTGTCTCTCTCTCTCTCTCTCTCTCTCTCTCGATATATATACTATATGTATATACTATATAAAGAAAACTGTATTGATTTTGCCCTGAAACTAAATAATTGTTTTTTTAATAAAACGCACAAATTGTCAGCATGGTAAATCATAAATGATTGATAGAATGATTGATTGATTGATTGATTTTGATTGTACATCAAATGGAAACATTTAGGAATTCTGTGTGTGCGTGTGTATGGAATATATATTATAAATTTGTACTTTGCACGTTGCATTGATTGACACTGATTGATTGATTGGATTATTTTATTGATTGCTACCACACACACACACACACACATGCAGAGACACAGACACACACACACACACACAGACGCTGTCACCATTCACCTTGCTCGCATTTTGCCACGTTCCATCATTGATTGATTTGTATATTGTGTGTGTGTGTGTGTGTGCGTGTGCCTCTCTCTCTCTCTCTCTCTCTCTCTCTCTGTCTCTCTCTGTGTCTTTACCTCTCTGTCGCTCTCTCTCTCTCTCTCTTTGTCTCTCTCACACACTATCCCTCTCTCTCTCTCTCTCGCTCTGTGTCTCTAGCTGTAACTGTATAAATCAGACACGGTTTCTTTGATTGATTGATTGATTGATTGGTTGATTGATGTGCGTTCCTTTAGTGTATGTATATGTATGTGTGTTAGTTATTTTTGTTTGATATTTTTTTTTTTATTTTTATTGGTTTTTGTTTGCATTAACTGTGAGACCTTACATCACACTATTAAACATATACATATACATAAACATAAACATATATATGTCTATATATATATATGTATATGTATATGCATCTATATTTTTAACTGCTATACATCATGATGTAACATTTCCGCCTATCCATTGAAAACTAACCTAAAACCTAAACCAAACCTAAAACTAAACTAAAATCCCAAACTAAACTAAATAACCTAAACTAAATTTGCGAAATGAAACCATGTGAAACCACAATATAACAATCTATGTTAACTGTTATACATATATAAAATGTCCATTGATTGATAATCGATTGATAACTGATTGATGAGACATATAGACATATATATATATATGTATATATGTAAAGTTTGCGAATTCATAGTAGACTTTATGTGTGGGAGCGTGTTATATCTGTTATACGTTTCGTCCAACAGTTAAGAACTATGAATTCGTACACTTTGTAAGACATGCATACACATGTATGTCTGTATGTATATGCATATATGTACATGTCTCTATGAATTCGTAATTTCCCTAATTTATCTGATTATATATACATATATATACCCCATATGAAGAACATTTAATAACTCCATATATATAAAAAGTCACAATATAAAAATTCTAAATGACTTCAAAGTAAAGCATAAAGAGATGAAGAAAAACCTATGACAAAGAGCAGAAGAGAGGAATGAAAAGGAAAGACTACACAGAAGAGGAAGAAGTAGAAGAACAAGCAAAGCGAGCAGCAGTTGCAAAGATCTTTATTATCTTTTGCTTTCCAATTCGGTACTTGGATAATCTGGATAGGGAAAGTATAACAATATAGGAAAAATATATAACAGATATCTATGTATTTAAATACAAATAATAGATGATTATTGTAAGCATAGAACAGCTATGAATATTCTCTATAAAAGACGATATGAATATAACAGGTATATAGGTGTTATACATACGTATAACAGTTAACAGCTATGCACGATTTGACATAAATATTGCAGTCATGTTTGACAATATGCGTATAACAGTTGGATAGGTGTTATACACAGGTATAACAGTTAACAGTTATGTACAATTTGATATAAATATAGCCGTTATGTTTGACATATATTTAAAAAACAGTTATACGTAATAGTTTTGTAGGATTCATGTCCAAGTATAACAGTAGGAAGTATTTATGTTTGCGTACCTTAACTCTAAAGTTCGTCTATAGAAGAGCAAAGCAGGATAATATTTGAATATCACATCATAAGTCATATAACAGTCAGATATCATCTACGTATAACAGTTGCGAAACTTACTCGTATAACAGTTAAATATTATATGTTAGTGTAATGATGATACAGGTAACAGTTAAGTGTGCTACATATAAAAGTTGAAAAGAACATATAGATATGCCATTAAAAGCTTTCAGTATTGGAAAACGCAAAAAAAAGAAGAAAATATTCTCTATTTCTATTCTAATATCGGATATTTGAAGATTTCGCACAAACAAACTTTGCACAATTTTTTGCCGGCTGCCGCTGCTGCTGCTTCCTCATGTTCTTCTGAGTAGTTTTCGCTCTTCTTCTTCTTGATTGGTTTTCTTTGTATTCCTTTAATTTTCTTGGCTTTGCTTTTGGTTTCTCGGATATGCGAAATGCCCCTGTTACGTACGCGTCTCCTTGCCTAGTCGAGACTTTATTAAATCTTGTGGCATTGCGCCCGCCTTCCATCCCTCTCCTAATCTATATACATACGTCTATATCTGCATACATATATATATGTGAATGTATATGTATGTGTATATATATGTATGTATGTGTGTGTATATATATATATGCAAATATAGCTGAACGATACGACCAGCCCGGACAGTCCGTCGATTGAGTTCATACCCGAGGCGAACGAAGCAGCGCTGTCAGCAACAACGGCATCGACGTCGGCCGCAACGCCAGCGTCGGCAGCAACGGGCGACACGAGCTCACGGCCCACATCGCCGCTGGGCGTGGCCGATGTGATCAACAGCACAAAAGAGTCGCTAATGAGCAACGCCAGCGCAATGACCGCTGGAGCTCTGGCCGCGGCCAAAAGTCCGCAGCGTGATGAGGTGGGCGTGGCACCCAAAGAGCTGCAGGATCGCCGCAAATCGATGTCATGGAAAACGTTCAATTTGAAGCGTCAATTATCAAAAGTCAATATGAAAATCGGTGGCGGCAGCCCCAATGTCAATACGGAGCTGGAGTCCATGCGGAACAGCTCCTCCATATTCTATGCGACCAAAGAGAGTTCGCCCGAAGGCGCCGAGGAGCTGCCAGTGGAGGCGCTCGAGTGCCGTGAAGAGGATGTTGGCCTGGCAGCGGCCAGTGCAATGCTCAATTGTGATACAGGCGATGCGCCGGCTGTGACGCCGACTGCGACGCCGCCGCAGAAGCGTGTCGATTTTGAGCAGCCGCCCGAGAGCGGCGAGAGGCCCAATAATTTGCCATTGAGCGAGGCGCAACAAGGACAGCAACAGCTACAGCTACAGCAGCAGCAGCCGCCATTGAAGCCGACACGGCAAAAGTTCAAAGAGAAGTCGCGCGATCAGCGCCTGCTCTCGGTGCCGAACATTAAATATCAGCCGAGAGAGCAGCGTGCGGGCGCCATTGGCATCGGAGCTGGCGCTGGGCGTGCCAATAAGAACGATGTGTCGCCAATGATGAGCGGCAGTCTAACCAAAAAGATACGTAAGTATGCGTGTGTAAATGCTTCTAAAAATAGCAAAAAAAACTCTTACCAAACACCCACCCACCCCTTCATCGACCCACAACTGCAATGTGCAGAGTGCGTAAGTGTATTGAAAGCGAGAGCGTAAAACAGGCGCAAGCGGCCTAACTGCATATGTTTTAATTCCAAACTCTCCACTCTCCACTATTCCCCATGCCCTTCTCTCCTCCTCTAATGTCCCAGCAACAACAGAGAGCGTGAGCGTGTGAGCGTCAAGGCGCATAGTTGTAGTTGTAGCAGTTGCAGTTTAGTGAGAGCGAACGCGAGAGAGTCAAAGGCGAAGATCGAAATCGAAAGTAAATTTGACAAAAATCTCTCACTCTCACACACACACACACACATACGCATCCACAACTCACACGTATACAGTGCTGGCTGCCCTGGTGCTGCTGATTTACCATGCTGCCTTGCCATGCATTGCGGTGCATTGTTTTGTGCGTGTGTATTAATTAGGGCGTAACTAGAGTAATAATAAACAAACAACAAGAACAACAACAACAACAATAATAATAACCCACCCATACCCCCCCCCCCCTCTCTTTAGCTGCTCTCACCCTCTCCCTCCCCCCTCCCTCTCTCTCTCTCTCTGTCTCTCTCACACTTACTCTTTGCTGGCTTTTGTATGTTATATCGTATGCAAGCCGTAGATTTTTGTTTTAGTAATGCAAGCAAGCTGAGCCCAGTCTACCCGTCTCCCTCACACCCCGTTAGTTCCTCAGACAAATTAGAGAGCGTATTATTAAATTAACTGTAAATGAAATGAAACGGGGCTGCTTCAAATTTGTTTTGATTTAACGAATTGCATTTTGTATAGCGACAAAATTTCGTAGAGTTTCTTTGTTTTCAATAGCTACAACAACAACAACTACTACAACAAGTATAATTATAATATAATAATGACTATGATAATAATGAAAACAACAATAATAATAATAGCACCAATCAACAACAACAACAGCAACAACAACAATGCAAATCAAATTTCAATAGCAACAAAAAACAAAAACAAAATAAAAATGAAAATGAAAATTGAAATTCTTATCTATATGCTTCTTTCTCCTGAAACTAGGCAACGGATGCAGAAGAGCTGCAATATAACTGCCTTTATGTGATTGTATGGAAGTTCTTTGGTAATTCATTCTAACAACAACAACAACAACAACATCACACAAATGCACAATTCACGCACACACAAACACACACACACACACACAAAGCTAACGAATTTTACATATGTATGTAGTTTGCAGCTGAGGAAGAAGAGGAGATGATGTTGATAAAGCAGAGGCAGAATTAGCACAATAACAGAACAAGCAACACATACACACATAAACACATACACATATATATGAGCAATTGCATATGTACATATCTGTCAATGTATGTATGTATTGTGATCTTAGCTCAGTAGTGCGGAAGACCGCACCCGCCCCCACCCCACCCATCTCTCTCTCTCTCTCTCTGTCCTTGCCGTTCCCTCCGCTCGCTCACATACCTCGAACCTTGCAACGGCTTACAAAACGGCGGAAAAAAAAACCAAAACAATATAACATTAAAATCAACCAATAGAAAATATATAAAAATGTTCTAAAATTCTGTTTAAAAAAAATCTTTGTCTGTCTCTCTCTTTCTCTTTAATTCTTTCTCTCTCTCTATATATATATTAATACATATACTTTGTATATATGTATACATATGTGTCTATGTATGTATGTGTTGATATACATAACTATTATGAAATAATGTTTAAATAGTATGCATAACTGTTGTAAAAAATTAAATTAAACCAAGAAAATACCAAAAAAAAAAAATACCAATCACACAAAACCACTAAGTGTAATTCACCTATTTAAAAAAAAAATCCTCTGTGTATGCACTGTGCAAATAAAAAATACCAAAAATACTATATACATAAAAAATTGAAAAAAATCAACAAATTTTTAATGGGTTGTTAGTGAGTGTTGTACGTTACACGTTTGTTATGTGTAAGTTTCATAAATACCATAAATACCGCCCATCGCCCTCATCCGCATCACGATTATCATAAAAACCAAATACCATTAAGTACGCATCGCCCCAATAGATGTTCTGTATGTATATGTGGTGACAACCGCGATACCGCCGGCCAACCCGATCCACCAAACTGCCAACAACTCAGGAATGTCTCTATCGATGACCATATTTGCAGCAGCAATCGTTTATCGATAACTATCTCATTTGTGTGTGTGTGTGGATACGTATGTATGTATGTATGTGTTATGTTTGATTGTTTGTTTGTTTTTGGTTGGTTGATTCACTCAATGTCTGTCTGAAGCGTTTCGTTGTCTCTCTATATATCTTTGGCTCTGTCTTTGCCTTTGTCTCTGTTGAAGCTGCGATAGTTGATCGATAACTATCCAATTTGTTCATAATTGAGTTATTGACTAGCTTTACAAACGATTTCAGTTTAGTTTTTACATTTTGTGTTAGTTCTGTGGCTTCTTATGCTTTCCGTTATGTTTATCGATAAAAAAAATAATAAAAAAAAAATTGCTTGCAACGCTTATACCGTTGCTTTGTTTGCTTATACGAACACTGTAAAAATCAAAACACCAAAATAATACAATTTTTTTTTTTTGTTCGAATTAATAAGCTTAATATGTATATCATGCTATAATCGATACATTTCGATCGATAACATTCACACAAAAACACCCACATTTACAGCTGCTTACATTCTTGCCTCTTTACATAATGTTTCTGTATTTAACTAGTTATCTATATACTTAACGTTCTCGTTCAGATCTGTCTCATTTATATGCTTAATCTATATATAAATATATGTATATATAAAGTAAATATTTATATATGCATATATACAAATACTTTGTTTAGTTCCATGACAGTCGCTGTTGCGGTCTCCTTTTCTCTATCTCTCTCTCTGTTTCACTCACACTCTGTGTTGTGATTTGTTGTTTCGTTCTCCAGTCATTTGCACTCATCACACTGCTTAACCGAACACTTCACACACTTTGATAAATATCAACGTTTTCCATTAACCAACACTGTTCACATCCACCAGCAACTGCTTTCTCTGTCACACCCACACACGCATTTTGTTTTCTGTTTGCCCGACTCAATACGAAAACGGGCAACGGGCATTATTACTGTTAATTGTTTGTACTCTGTCTCTCATATGCACTCGCTCACACTCTCTCTCTGGCTGACACACACACACACACACACACACACTCGTTATGCATTTGTTAAGTTTATCGTTGTTTCATGCGACCCTTCCCCTTCCTGACACTTCCAACACAAGCAAAACAAAGTATGCTATTCGTCACACACACAGACACACACACACCTACGCCACATACACACACGGCACACACACATATATATCTATATATATGTATATATATATGCACACGTGCTCGCACAAGACCAACAAAAAAGAAAAGAAGATGAAGAAGAAGAAGAAGATGAACAACAAATTGTACAATTGATATGTTGCTCCATTCAATCATTTAGTGCATTTATCTCTCTCTTTCTCTCCTTCTCTCTGTGTGTATCTCTCTCTCCCCTCCCTTATTATTGTTTATTTACAATTGACCAGATCAACGGCGGAGCCAATGCGAACGCTAATGCAAGCGCAAGTCCAGCGCAGCAGCAGCAACAGCAGCTACAGCAGCAGCAGCAACAGCAGCAGCAGCAGCTACAGCAACAACAGCAGCAGCAGCAGCAACAGCAGCAGCTACAGCAGCAGCAACAGCAGCAGCAGCAGCAGCAGGCAATGGGCGATCCTCTGTCCGCGTCGACGTCGTCGTCAGCAAACGCTGCGGCTGCAGCTGCAGCGTCGGCGTCGGCGTCTGGCGTTTATGGTGCGGACGATGCAGGTGCGGGTGTTGCTAGTGGCGGTGTTGGTGTTGGTGGTATTGGTAGTGGTGGTGGCCTATCAGGTGCGGGTGGCGGCGGCAGCGGCGGCGGCGGCGGCGGCGGTGGCAGCGGCAGCGGCAGCGGCGTTGATCAGCATCATCAGCAGCAACAACAGC